ACAAAATAAAACAAAATTCAAAAACTCTTTTCAACGAGGAGGAAGTTGAGGAAAGCATAATTCTTGAACCAACAACCCTTACAGAAATGAAAGAAACGATCAATACCTTAAAAAACAACTGTGCTCCAGGCATGGATGGTGTATTGAAAAAAGATTTGCAAACTCTATATTACATTATTGGAACAAAAATGGTAGAACTTGTTAATAACGTCCTGCAAACTGGAATTTACCCTGAAGAACTCAAAATTGCTAAAATCATCCCAATATTCAAAAAAGGCGAGCACGATAACATAAATAACTATAGGCCAATTTCACTACTCAGTACTTTTTCCAAAGTGTTAGAAAAAATTATCAAGACCCGATTAATAAATTTCATTGAAACAAATTTTAAGTTTGATAAACAGCAATATGGGTTTCAATGTAAAAGTAGCACACAAGGAGCAGCAGTGGATATGTTGGAATATGTTTCCAGTGAGTTGGACAAAAGCAAATATGTCATAACTGTGTTTGTCGACCTTCAAAAAGCCTTCGACACGGTTAATATAGAGTTAATGATGAGCAAACTATATAAAATGGGTTTCCGTGGACCATGCTATAACCTGCTAAAATCTTACTCTACTGGAAGAAAGCACTTTACAACAATAAATAGTGAGAGTAGTGAACAACTTAACTTGAATGTAGGAGTTGCCCAAGGGTTAGTGCTGGGGCCAATACTTTATTTACTGTATGTACATAGTTTGAAATATGCAAACTTAAAAGCAACCTACTTTAAATTTGCAGACGACACTGTATTGGTCTACTCAGGTGACAGTGCAATACAACTTGACGAACTTGTAAATAGTGACTTAAAGCAATATTTTAGTTGGCTGTGCTATAATAGACTTTCGTTGAACGCGCAAAAAACAGTATATATGGTTAGTAAACAAACAGGAAAACCACCCCTAAACCCACAAATAAACATAAACATAAATGAAGTACCTTTGAAAAGAGTGTGTGAATATAAGTACCTTGGCTTGCTCATTTCTGAAAAACTAACATGGGATAAGCACATTGAAACTGTGACTGGAAAAATAGTGCCAATGATAGGTGTAATTAAAAGATGTTCACATCAACTAAACCAAAAAACAAAACAGCTGCTCTATAATAGTTTTGTAGAGCCACATTTTAGGTATTTGATAACGTGTTGGGGAAATACAAGTATTGCACAAATAAATAGGCTCCAGAGACTTCAAAATAAGGCTCTTAAAACAATATTTGGAATGAACTTTTATGTCCCTAGTGAAGAAATTTACAAAAGTCTGCCTTGCCTAAAAATATGTGAGCTTAAAATACTAGAACAAACAAAACTTATTTATGCTATACAAAATAAATTGCTTAAAACAAATGTAGAACTGAATGAAAATAGACAATATTACAACTACAATACCAGAAATAACCAAAGACTAAGAAATACCTATGCCAGAACAAAGAAAAAACAAGACTCTCCAATCTATAGATGCGTACAGGCCTATAACAAAATACCAAAGACTGTACTGAGTGATTAAAGAAATGTGTCATAACCTTAAAGAATACCTAAGAGCAAACAGATTATAAAACTAATATATTTTTTGAGTGCTTAGTTAAATGTTATATTTTACTTCTGTTATGTTATATTATTGATATTAAGGCCTCGGTGCCAGTTTATTCTAAACTGTTTTGAGGTCTGAAATAAATAAATAAATATAAAAAAAAAAAAAAAAAAAAAAAAAAAAAAAAAAAATATGAAGTTTCTACAGTTATGCATAAATTTTTTTTTGTTAACTGTCATCTTTCTGAGTTCCACTAGTTCCCAAGGTATTAATATGGTTATAATAGTTCAGTAGGAAATAAAAGACTTTTATTTTCAACCGTATACGTGATGTTGACATGACAGACTTTTTGAAATCTTGAAAGTGCCACATTTCTGTACTTTTAAATTTTTTCAGGTCGGCAATGTATATGCCTGCCACGGCCGGAAAAATGCGTTTCGGTCTCGATTTCCCTGCTTGTTTTTTTTGACAAAATTGATGACATTGACAAAAACAAAGTGAAAGCGGATTTTTTCTAAGGTCAATTCACCTTATTATTTCTTACTATAAAATCTTTTGCATCAGAAATTGAAAATAAAATAGTATACAAACCTTGACGGAAAACTTCATTGCTATCTCGAGGTTTAGTTAATTCTCGACGCTACGCGTCTTGATAAACTATATAACCTCTCGACCAGCAATGAAGCATTTTCCGTCTCGGATTGTAATATACTATTACTTCCGCTCACGAGTGGAGGTAAAAGTCTTTTATTTTTAACCATAGGAGCAGGGAAATATTTCCCGTTCTCATTTTCCTTTTCATTTGCCGACCTCATTTGGTTGCCCCGATTTTTTTTTTTTCAAGAAATTATGGTTAAAAATAAAATACTATACAACCCTCGACGGGAAACTTCATTGCTGTCTCGAGGTTCAGTTTATCTCGACGCTACGCGTCTCGATAAACTATAAAACCTCTCGACCAGTAATGAAGCATTTCCCGTCTCGGATTGTAATATACTATTACTTCCGTTGTCTATGGTGACCGTCAACTGACATAAAAGTTAAACTTTAACATCATGAAATTAGTAGATAAATGTCAGGTTTTCTGACGTTTGAAGAAAATAGCTATTTATATAACAAGTACATAAAGTAAGGCTTTATTGTACGAATAATTTTATGGCCGAGCGAGCTTGCGAGCGAGGCTATTAAATAATGAGTCAATAAAGCCTGTTTATGTAAGAGTTTTATACATGATTTTATGTACGATTGCGACTGGTTTTTGTTAAAAATTTTAAAAAAATTAATGAAAAAAGTAAAATTCGCATAGGTATACCTGTTTCACCTTGGCAGGTTGTCAGGACCTGTTTCACCTTGGCAGCTTGTCAGGACCTGTTTCACCTTGTCAGGTTGTCCAGGTAGGCAATAAAGTAGCACTTTATTTTACTAGTACAATAAAGTGCCACTTTATTGACGCAAAACTGTTCTATAAATAGCACTTTATTGGTCAATTGGACATAAAAATCATTATTTTAAATTTGAAAACAACAGGTATCCATTCCAAACAGCATTTTCTTCAAGAGACAACTGTTATCAAAAAAAACCTTCCTAAGGCATTATCACCAATGTTTACAGTAATTTGGAAAACTTAATCAAAAGTTTGCTTACCTTAGCATACATAACAGCCTTCTCCAAAACCATTGTAGGTATTCCGTATCATTATGGTTTTCCAGTGGGCTGCTGAACAATTATGAAACCAGAGTCTGCAAAAAAAGGTTACGGTAAACAAAAGGATTTTTTTAAAAACAAAGTGTCAATTTATACTTGGAAAAATCAGCTAAAAAAAGCAGCCAAAAGTTGTAATCACAAAATGGATCAGACGGTAATTTTTATCATCATTGTGAATCATAGAGTAATGTCTTCTATGATTTAAATAAAGAATGGGGTTTGGGTTTACTCAATTTATGACAATACTTAATAAATTAATTATTTACACACACAAGATTTTAAAACCTTTGTTCCTATATATTAATAAGTAGCTAGAAAGATTATAATAATATATAATAATAATAATATTTTATTCCAGGATCAAGTTTACAATTAAGTTTTCAAGTTTACAATTTCTTCAATAACTGTGCTACATATGGAAACAACATCAACAATAAAATTAAACCCTCACAATAAAATTTCCACAAATTCCAGGATTTTTTTTTTTTACTTTCTCCTAGGAGTTTATTGGTTGCACAATGGATTTTTCAAAAATCTGTGTGTGCATACCATACCAAATATTACACAATTGATAAATTAGTCAAGGTTATAGAAAATTTATACAATAAAAACAAATATAGTATCCTATTTCACTATCACAAAAGCTAGCAAGTTTATTTTTCTTTATTTTAAACAAATGGAAAACATAGCCTACTATTTATAATCCAGTCTTTAATTTGGTTTTTAATTTTGGAATATGGTTTACTTTTAAATTCCTGTGGTAAGGAATTAGAAATCTTCGGGCCAGTAAAGTTAATATGCTTTTGCATGGCCAAATGTTTAACTGAAGGGATAAGTACATTATTTCTTGCAAGATGTCGGGTGTTTAGCTGATGCTGCAAGTTAAACTTATAATAAGGTGATGCTATCATAAATCTTATTACACTTTTAATATATAGCTGTTCTAGTGTCAGAAGTCTACTCTCATTAAACAATAAATCTGTAGAGTATAGTTTGTTTTTAAACAACATTATCTTAATAATAAACTTTTGGATAATAAACATTGATTGATAGATACCAGTAATTGAGAAGTTGAGGAAGGGGTGCCTTTCGGAAAAATTTGCCACACAAATATTGCAAAAAAGGCAACAAACTAGGGAAATAAACTCTTCCAGTAATTCTAGTAATCACATGTAGCAAATTACAAATTCAGCTGGAGGTAATCCAAATAGGAGAAAAATAGCAACTGCAGGAGAATTTTCACACATTTTCTACTGGAAGCTGGAAAAGCTTATATTTTAATAGTGAATGTCTCTGGCTATAGCAGATCAACTTGTATATCTCTGAGGAAAATTGTGCATGGCATGCATAGCAGACAGGATAATTTAATGGTTAATGAAAAGTTTGGACTCAACTATTTTTTTTTCCCACCCAGAAAGGGGGCTTTAGAAGAAAGCTGAGGCTTGTAAGTCTGGGTATGTATTTTTCCATATGGATCGCGATTTTGACACTAGAAGACAAAATAAAGTGGTTATCCTCTCTAGCTGACTTAGAAGGTGCTAATGTATTTATGATAATATTGAGTTTTTTCTATAAATTTCAACAAAACATTAGGAAAACTCCTATTTAATCAAATTGAACAAAAAGTTTTAAGTGTGTCTAACAATATGTTATTTCTTATTACAATTATAAATCAATGTGGATCACAAAAATGTTTTTCACAGTTAACTACCACCAAAAGAGTCTTACCATGCTTCCAAAATCTAAAGAGTATCTTGAATGTTGAATATTCCATTTTAGCATTTCCAGTATTTCTATCAAGCCTGCAATAAGAAATATAAATATAAATATCATTTTGTAAATATGTTTTCATGTTTTTAATAAGGTAATTCAAATATCAGATTAAAGATATCAACATAAACTTCAGTCATATGCTTGTCTATTAAAAATCATCATAAAAAAATTAAAGGGGGACAGTGAAAAAAAAACATGTCTCTTTTTAACTAGAAATTGTCTTAATTGGATAAAGCTAGTGATGTAAAATGCTCGAGCAAGTATTTTAGGAGAACATTCTCCGAGCACGATCGAGTATTAACGAGAATAAACGAGCAAAAACGAGCAGGACCCGAGAATTTATGCTTTTTATCAGAAGCTGAATAAAACAAAACATTTTTCTAAATAAATTCTGATTTTTCTCAAATTTCCCGAAATTCCCAAATTTCTCGTGAAAATTCTGAATATTCTGAAAATTCTTGATAAATGTGCTGAAAGTTCTCAAACTTCTTAAGAAAATATACCTACTTAATACATAATTAATCACATAATTTGTGAATTGTGTCATGTTTGATAACAATAATTATTCTAATTTGGGGTTTTCTGTGAAACTTCAACATACAATTATCATTAGGATTCTTTTTTTTTTTTGATAATAAAATAAAATAGTGATTTTAGTTTAAGTGCTTCCTGGTTCTCGGGCTCAATATTCGATATATCTTCGCCTTCAACAGCTTCCATAAATATATCTCTACTTTATGGCGTCATGTGATTTTATTGGTTAGGATCGTGCCTGAGAACGTGCTGAATATTCTCTATCATGCTCATTGTGCTCCGAAGGTAATATTCAGCACGAACCTTTTTTTCGTGCGCGAACGTTTGCGAATGTTCTCGAAAGCACAATCAGAACGTTCCCTTGTTCACATCACTAGATAAAGCAACTATGTTTTTTAATGTTTTTGAGTATATTGATTGATTTGATTTGAAATGTAAAAAATCTAAACTCACCTTATAACTTTCAATGGAATCAAAGTTCCTTTCACTAGAAGAAGGATCTGTAACAAGAAAGCAATCATTATAAACTTGTTTTAGTCATACTAGGAAATGTATCAGTTTGTACTGCAATTATCAGAACATAGGTAATCATGGTTTTGGTCAGATTGACTAGGGCGTCTATGAATGTGTTCATCATATTAAATTTAAAACCAACAATAATTCCATAAATACTAATTTTACTTTACACTCTAGGTTGTGAGGTAAGTTACTTTAGACACTAGAGCGTAAAGTTGTGGTATATTATTTCCTGATTTTTTCAAATTTATGGCTTTACATTGTTGGTATGTAGTAGAAAAATTTTGCATGCTGTGATAGATGTCTAGAGCGCCTTTTTTTACTCATGTGATTGTCTCACTTGCCTGCTGCTGGTGAGTAAATTTACATTGGTAAAAAAAGGTTCACTTTACACACTTGTTGCATAAATAGCTATTCGTTAAGATTGTAAGCAGTATTAAGAACAAAAAATCTTACCATTCTTCATGGATTTCAATCTAAAACTTGCACCCTAGTCTGTCAAAAGCAGCATTGAATATTCCAGGACGTTTGACAGTAACTCTGCAAATACAAGAATATCATTTTAAAATAATATAGGTACACAAGTGTTATTATTTTCTCACTATTTGAGTTTAATATCAGATTAAAGGTATCAACATGAACTTCAGTCATATGCTTGTCTATTAAAAATCATCATGATAAAGTTGAAAGAACAGTTAAAAATTACATCAAAGTGGTAAATTAGGAAAAGAGAATGCAAAATACAACCCAATTAGTGATTGATTATGCAAAACAATCTCGAGAACAATGTTAACGCAGGACTGTACATTTTTGTACAGGGTGATTCATTAAGAATGGCACTCGGCCATATCTCAAAAACTATTCACCCTAGTCTTGTCGGAAAAAAATTGTTCCATAAATATGGCCAAGAGAAAATGCTGGAAATAAATTTTAGCTTTCTAAAATGACCGCAAGGGGGCGTAACCCAACTGTCAAAGTACAAAAATTGTTTTATTTTTGAAATTTCAAATGGAAACGTATCTTGAAAATGCTAGCAATAGATTTTTGATTAAATTTCACGCAATTTTGATTCATGACTTTTTACTAGAACTTATCGGATAAGATAGTTATGAGCTTAATATAAAGCAAATATTGCAACTCAAGAAAGCGGATAACTTCAAAACGACTCAACAAATCTGGTCGATCTCAGGTTTGTTGGAAAGAAAAGATTCTGTTCTTTAATTTTGTTGTGGAAAATTTAAATTCTGGTTAGTAGGACTGACGTTATGGGTCAATATTTGAAAAGCATTAAATGTTTCCAATTTTTCTTGAAATTTTCAAATGGAAGAGTATATTTAAGATATGTTCAATCGATTTTTGAGGATGTTTTACACGGTTTTTCTTTATCATACCTTCCGACAAACGAATTCCAGATAGTGTTAAAATTAATTTTCTTAAAAATAATCAGTATTTATGAAAAAGCCCTCGTAAATTGAACAGATACCAGTTAAATATGTCAGGCTGACACATTTTTAAAACTTCAAGGGTGCGTTCGAAATCACCCTGGGTGTCACACCAGCCATGTATAATTCATAGCTTAAAAGCAAAATGCATTTCCCAAATGGAGAAGCACAGGACATCCTTGAGCTGCATGAATGTAACGGAAATACAGCAATCGCAGCACACATATTTATTCACGGCGTTATCCCCAAAGACCTCACCCTGACTCTAGATCCATCAGGAGGTTGAATAATCGTTTAAGGGTTACGGGTAGTATTTATACCCCCTTTTGCACTCGAAGACGTAGGGCCACGTGCGAGGAAAATACAACCAACGTTCTGGCACTATAATTTCCTAACGCACTTTTTTCATTATTTGACGTTCATCAATGATGACAATCAACTGTCAGAAAAACGAAGTCATTATTTATGAGGGCTTTTTCATAAATATTGATTATTTTTGATAAAATTAAATTTAACACTCTGGAATTCGTTTGTAGGAAGGTATAATAAAGAAAAACTGTGTAACACATCCCTAAAAATTGATTGAACATATCTTAAATATACCGTTCAATTTGAAAATTTCAAGAAAAATTAGAAAAATTCGATTGTTTTCAAATATCCACCCATAGAGTCAGTCTAACTAACTGAAGTTGGAATTTTTTACAACAAAATTAAAGAATATACTCTTATCTTTCCAACAAACCTAAGATCGACCCAATTCATTGAGTCGTTTTGAAGTTATGCGTGTTCTTAAGTTGCAATATTTGGCAGCTCATAACTATCTTATCCGATAAGTTATGGTAAAAAGTCATGAATCAAAATTGCGTGAAATTTCATCAAAAATCTAGTGCTAGCATTTTCAAGATACGTTTACATTTGAAATTTCAAAAATAAAAGCATTTTTGTACTTTGACAGATGGGTTACGCCCCCTTACGGTCATTTTAGAAAGCTGAAATATATTTCCAGCATTTTCTCTTGGCCATATTCATGGGATAATTTTTTTCCGTCAAGACTACTATGAATAGTTTTTGAGATATGGCCGAGTGCCATTCTTAATGAATCACCCTGTACAATAAACAGTGTTGCCAATCGGCGGAGAATTCTCCATTTTTCAGAGAATTTTGGGTTCGGCAGAGAATTGTGCGGAGATATTTTTTTTTATCATTATTGACATAAAAAATTAAAATTAATTCAAAATTTCAGCTAAAATAAAAATTTAAGAAGATATTTGGGATTCAGTGATTCGGTACAAACAGGTTAATTTTGGACATAAATGACATGACATACCATAGCTTTGTTCCAACCTCAATGGTTCTAACCCAGCTGGGAACAGGGAACTGTACATTTTACCGTCAAGATTCGGCATAAAACGTAAAATTTTTGCGTAGAATCCCATATTCGTTTACAGTGTGGTTGCGAAACCATTCTAGAAACACAAAATTTATGTGTAGAATCTGAAGTTCATATACAGCGTAGTTTCAGAACCGTGGACCCTTCATGGGACGGTTTCTGGCTTGTTGAAACAGACCTTATAAAAGTGGAGAATTGCAGCAAAATGTGGAGAATTTTATTGGTTGAGGCGGAGAATTTAGGTGCGAAGGATTGGCAACACTGACGATGAATGAAAAACGCCCCTGGTTCCTGATAGACCTTTAAGGCCTGTATCAAAAAAAGGCATGTGAATATTCCTGATACATATAACAATTATTTAGGTATTTTTAAAATTTTTGAAAAACCGGCCTTTTAGCACATATAAATTGGGGTTACCAAAAAATTAAAAAATATTCTCACCAGTTTAAAACAGATCTGCTTCACACTTCAGAAACTATTCAGTACCATTTTCTCTGATGATGACACCTCTTCAACAAGTTTTTCATCAATTTTCATGACCACATAAATTCCACCACACTTCTTACTAGCCACTGCCATATGTTTGTCCATTCTTGGGCCTTGGGATACTACACATAGAAAAAAAAACCTCAAATAAAAACAATTATCTAGCTTTAGCACACGTTTCTATAACTAGGTACTAGAATTTAATCAGTGATTGCGATTAGTTGAAATCATGGTGTTCATACGAACGAGACAAATCGTTTCATCATTTTGAACTTGAACCAAACAAAAAATATTCACTAAAACATGCAGAATACTACTTCTACTATCGATAAATAAATTTCAAATAAAAGAACATTGAGGGATGGCAGAGATAAATAAAGAAAACAATTTTTAACTTACCAATACGTTCTTCCTTGAACAAAATCACAAGTCAAATGAAGTTCTTTAGAACCTCATTTGAAAAGGTTGACTTTTAAAGTTTTCTCGATTGCGGGTAGGTGTCGCTTTGAGAGGTTTTCATTTGTATTTGCTGGAATGCTTCGAGTAGATCTGTGATCTATTCTAAATAAATGCAAAAAATTGGTGCAGAACTTATTGCACTCGAAGCAAAAGTAAAATTTATTGGATTGTGTTCAGACTGTTCAGAGCAGTTTTTTGTCACTGGTTCTAGAGTTAAGCCCAGTATTCATAAGCCGCTTTCACAGGCTGGGATCACGACAAGTAGAATTCTACTTTCGTGACGTCAAGTTGCCTAGCAACCGGCATCATCGCCTGTACTGTACGCGATAAATAGGTCGCGGATGACGTCATGAAAGTGGAATTCTACTTGTCGTGATCCCAGCCCTGGGGGCGGATTACGAACTCTCGATTCGAACCGAGTCCGCCATGGATTTCGAACGCACTCCATGTGAATGCGTTCGAAATCTATGGCGGTTTCGGTTCGAATCGAGAGTTCGTAATCCGCCCCCAAGTGTGTGCTTCAAGCACGGTGCAGCACAGTGTTCTGTGTTTGAAACGCAAAAGTTAGCAGCTCTCGAAGCGCAGTACGGCTGGAACACGAACATGCGCTTGAAGCATTTGCGCGCGCAAAAGCTCGATTGCGGGCTTAAAATGGTCAGCTGGAAAGCGGCTAAGAGCCTGGGACACATCTATCATGCATTCTTCCGATCCGACTCCGATCATACAATCAGGGTCCTTATTCTTGGAACATGGAGCAGCGTTCCCAGGAGAACGAGTGTTCCGCTGCTACCCTGTTCCAAAAATAATGACCTTGATAGATGTATCCCGGCCTTTAGACGGGTGTTTGGCTCAAGCTCCGATTTTTGACAGTTGTGGGTATCGTTCCGTGCTGTTTGGAAACGTAAATATGGCGTCAGGTCGTACTTGAGCCAAGACGCAACCTTGAGCATCGACTATGAATACGGATAGGGAGAGCGTTGTAATCTTGTAGTATAAGGTCTGTTTCTGCAGAAATCACAAACCAGTCAGAGCGAATTTCATTGGTTAAAATTAGTTTTCTGACTCTTTCTGTAATATAACCGAACGACCAACTTCCGTATATTTTGGACTGGACTTCATTTGTTCGATGTTCGACTCCGCACAGCTGAACGTGAACGTAGTTATTAGAAAGTTCTCGTGTTTCAGACGCTACGCTAATACGGTACCGCTAATAATACGGTGTTTCACATGGTATTTTATAGTTCTCGGACACGAAGACACATAAATCCTCTAATCCCTTAGGTCGCGTTTATGTTGGAGCTGTGATACACGATAAAAGCAACGACACTAATTTAAAGTATCATTAGTTTTACATTGTATTGCCAACATATTGTCATTTTGACTTTTATCTTTAAAAAAAAACACACTTTACTAGGTGCAGGCTCATTCGCGTTCGTTTATTAAAATTTCTGACACAATAGCCGCTTTCCAGCTGACGCTTTGAGCACGCAATCAAGCTTTTGCGCGCACAAATGCATCAAGCGCTTGTTCGTGTTCCAGCCGTACTGCGCTTCGAGAGCTGCTAACTTTTGCGTTTCAAACACAGAACACTGTGCTGCACCGGGCTTGAAGCACACAACTGGAAAGCGACTTATGATACAGCGTTCAACTGCTCTGTTTGCTCGCTGTTCACGTGATTACGGCTCCGCTCAGCACGCTCTGCTATTTGAGCAGAATACCGAACGCAACACACCAGCTGAATAAAAAGTTCTCGTGCCTCAGACGCTACGCTGATACGGTACCGCTATAATAACAATAGAGTATTTTAAGGGCGGGTATTATAAAACTGCTTTGACAGTTAACTTGAAGTTAACTTTTTGAATTACATGTAATTTCAGAAGTTAACTTTAAGTTAACTCTCAAAGTAGTTTTATAATACCCGCCCTAAATGGTATTTCATAGTTCTCGGAAACGAAGACCCAAATTCCTCTAATCCCTTATCCTGTTTACATTTTGACACGAATTGAGTGATCTAACCCAACTTTTTTTTGTTTGTTTGCCAAATTTTATTTATTCTGAAGATTCCTGAGTTTCATTTATATTCCTTGGTGTTTTTTATGGAGGAATTATTAGAAGTTGCTGCTTTTGCACTAATTTTGACTTAGCATGGCGTTACGGTAAGGCATCCGCTAACTCCCCTTAGGTACTAGGTAGCGGGCGCCGCTCACTGATCTAAAAAATAAATGGATAAACAATCATACGGCTAGGATTGGCAAAATTTGTGCGAAAATTTGGGGTCAATATTCTACGAACAGTTGTGCAACGGAACAGCCTAACGCCTGCGCAGTGTCTTATCTTTCGAACAACTGTTCTAAATTTTGAAATTCCTTCATTTTCATTGGCCAGATTTTGTGCACGCACAGTACATTTATCTACTGCGTCAGTTGTTTTTGTTTAGATTATGACCTCGTAAATTAGTAGCGTTAGAAGCGCTCTTTGTTTATCCATTTATTTTTGAGATCAGTGGCTCCGCTAAGGCTTATACCGTAAGAACTGTCATACTTGTCAAATAACGTTACGGTATTTGAAATTTAGACAGCACGAGAACTTTCTATTGTGTTTGTGCTTCGCTTCAAGCACGGTGCAGCACAGGGTTCTGTGTTTGAAACGCAAAGGTTAACAGCTCTAGAATCGCAGTACGGCTGGAACACGAACACGCGCTTGAAGCATTTGCACGCGCAAAAGCCCGATTGCGTGCTCAAAATGGTCAGCTGGAAAGCGGTGTGACACCCAGGGTGATTTCGAACGCACTCCAAAAGTGGGTTCGGCTTGCTCACTCTGTGCATTCGGAGTGTGAAGATTTTTCAAATATAAAAATAAATAAAAGTTTAAATAAGTAAACAAAGACCCAAGTATTATCAATTTTCATCGTCTATTCTACTATTAGTTGGTCTAAAGTTTTTAGCCCTAAATGCACATAATTCACGTTTGAGTCACAGGCTGTGACCAATATTTGAAAGTGGAGAAGATACATAATGGCCACCTCAAAGCCAAATAATGACTTTCCCTTGGAAGCACTGAAAGTTCAGGGGCCCTCCTACCTGAAGGCAGCTTTAACCAGTTGCACTGATCCACTTAAGGCTATCGAGGAGTTTCAGGTAAATGTCTAAAATGGTCTGGGAGTGGCTGAGACGAAGGCCAAAAATTACCAGATTCCTAATTTTTCTTTATTGTTCGTGCTACTGAAAATTGTTTGAGTAATTCAGGCCCCCGAAAGTGTTCTATTCACTCCTTAAGAGCAAAGTAAAAGCTCTGTAAAGCAACAACAGCACAAGAGCATAACAGATCTCAAAGTTTCGCAGCAGAACCTTCAAAGAGTCGAGCCGGCTTTCTAGGTATTTGACAGGTCTGCAGCCTGGGTTGTAAATAATACAACAGCTCAACTTTAAACTACTTTACTAACACTGAATTAGACTCTCGAATTCCCAATTAAACCCCTTGACAATAGTTACCTATATTAAATTTCATCTCAACTAGCAGTTACGACATTACTTTTCCCACCTGGCCAACAATAGCACCCCAAACATATAAAACTACAAAAATGAAAAATAAAAGGAACTAATCAATGTCTAAAACAACTATTCACTTTCACGGTTCTAGCAAAACGCAACAACACAGACACAATACACCACACTCCCCCCCCCTTTAATGCATCAAACACCGCTTGTTCTTCGGTATGTCACTGCCGATATGATTCCGAGTATGATTTTTTCCTCAGAAGGCAATGCAATGGGTTTGCTATAGTTGCTTTGTCTTTAAGGAAAACATGATAAAAATTCAAAAGTCCAAGGAAAGCCTGTAGCTCAGTCTTATTCTTAGGCGTCGGGGCATTAGCTATCGCCTGGATTTTATTTTTAGTGGGCCGAATACCATCTTCACTTATTGGATATCCTAGAAAATCTATTGACTTGGTAATAAACACACATTTATCTTTGCGTAAATTAAGTCCATCTTCCCTAAAACATGAAAGCACTGCGCGCACTTTACTGTCTAAATCAGCTTCTGATTGTCCGACAACTAGTATATATTAATACAATTTTTTTACTACAAAAAAGAGCACTGCGTTTTATGCTAAAGTTAAAAAGAAGAGATTCTTGTAGGCCTTTTTTTATTAGCCATAAAATCCTAACTTTGACCAGCGTGTTTATCCATGAAACAGCCTGTTTGATTCATAGGAAGTTTAAAACGGAAATTCAGGCCACTTCAGCTTATACTGTGAGAAATACCCACACCACGTCACTTCCGATACCTATTTCCACCTTAACTAAAAAGTCCATAATTTATAATGGTAGGAAAATATTTAATCATCTACCAAAAAATATAAGAAAAATAGAGGATGAAAGAAAATTTAAAAGAGAAGTGAAAAAATTACTTTTGAACAAAGCTTATTATTCAGAAATCGAATATTTTGACGACTCATTTTAGACTGTGATTTGTTGTATACATTTTTTTTATAGACCAGCTTTAATTTAGGTTTTGTATGATCTCCTGTGTAATTTTAGTATCGTCGTTTTATTATGTATTCTTTGTATTGTCGACTTATCAGTGTTTTCAATATTGTTTTTTTTTCTAAGTTTTTAGTTCTGCTTTGTCAATGAGATGTTTTAATCTTTTTGTTTTGATGACAATAGAGCTGTTTTTGAATTTGAATTTGAATTATCATCTGTGATATCATCATATTATGGCAGCACACCTGGAATTCCTGCTAGTCGCATGTCTATGAAACGTTGGAAAATTTGTGGGGCTACTGAGATACCAAACTATAAACGATTACATTTAAATGCACTTTTGTTTTGGGTTATAGGGTACTTGCATGGAAAATTAAATTGATTATTGTTTATTGCAAACTGTAGGAAATCGAAAAAAAATCGTTACTTTTTTTTCATTTCGCCCAAATATGATTATTTCGGAAGTTATACAAATATTAAGTTTTGTATGTATAGATATACTGAGCATGTGCGACGTCATAAAGTATTATACCTGATGACGTCATAGGCATATTTCATAGCGTTGTATCTCCGTCAATTTTTGACTAAGAAGAAAAAGAAAAAACACGTGTTGACTTTTTTTTCATGGACTATCGAAATCAGCAATAAAAAAATTTGATGCAAGGGGCCTATTATCGTCTGTGTTTCGGCAGCTTCACGATCGGCGCTTAACTGTAAATAGGCCTGTGCCATGTCCAATTTAGAAAATATTTTACCTCCTGCTAGCACTGATAATATACTTTGAACAGAGGGCAGTGTATAAGGCTCTGCCTGCAGGGCACGATTCAATGTACTACGATAATCCCTACAAATTCGAACTTCTCCGTTATCTTTGCAAACTACTACTATTGGAGTACACCATTTAGCATGAGTAGTTGGCTCCAGAACACCTTGCCTTATAACTCTATCTAGTTCCATATCAATTTTTTCCTTTAATGCAAATTGCAATTTTTGGAGCTTTTAAAGGGGGTGTGCGCCAAAAAAAACAACTTTATCTCAAAAAAAAAAGTAAAAAAATCTAAGAATAACAGTGAAAACCGCACCCCTCTGTCACAAATAATACCGAAGATATGACTCTATGAAGGTACCGAATCTCACCCTATGACGTCACGAAAGCGCATGCGACGCACAAGAAAGTGAAGTAACTTGAATTGACATCTCTTTTTCCTGTTTCACCTGCAATAATCTAAACAAAAATCACTCACGCGTGCCGGGAACAATCAAATTAACAATGCAAAGCTCTGGTGGACGAAGCTCTCGTGACGTCACACACACTTTAAAGCGGTATATCTCAGCGATGGTTTATCGTAGAATAACGAGGTTTGAACAGTTATTCTTAGATTTTTTTACACTAAAACTTTAATTTTTGGCACACACCCCCTTTGAAATGATCGGCTTGAAATTTGGATCCAGGAAAAAACTAACTGGAGGTCCCCTATAGGAACCTAACGTTTCAGCGAATACTTCAGGGTATTCCTGGATATAGTTGGACAAAGAATAAATTTGACTTACCCCTTACCCCTATGATAGATAGACCCAAACCACAGCTTCACTCTCCCCTCATAGGAATTACTTTACCTTGATAGTCTCGTAGAATAATATTGGTGGATTCTATCAACGGAGGATTGTCGCCCAAAATTCTTTTGGAAGTTCCTAATCCGACCACAGGGTACCCGGCTCCCGAATCTACTTCCATACAAATTTTAGTCCCATTTACCGTAACTTCGGCTAAGTACTTGCCCAAAAAATTATCACAACTCACATTATTTAATGTGAACCCATAGTCCGCACCGTTAGAGTCAATGTTCTGAACACTTTCCAAATCATTTTCCTGGCCCGCATTATTAAAGTCTTGTTGGTGTACGCTCCGTCTCTGTCTGTTTGTGTCCTTCTTAAGGAAACAAGCTACCTCAATGTGCCCTATTTTCCGACAGTAGTTACACTCCGAATTTTTAAGTACACAGGAAACGGCCAAATGGTCTTTTTCACAACGAAAACATTTCCTAAAACGATCTTGATTAAGTCGACTGTCACGTTCCTCAGCTAATCCGTTCTGTTTTGGTTGAATTTGCTATTTGCGACGTGCCTGAACCTCATGTACTTCGCTGGTCGGGTTCGTTTCAGTTCCGTTCAACATCGCCCGGCTGTGCGGAGCGACCTCGTAAGCAAGACACATATCTTTAGTTTTCTTGAATGTCAATTTATATTCTGACAGCAATTTCCTTTGCAGCATTCGGTAACTCCGCATACGATTCGGTCACGCAACATAGTCTCTAAACTGGTGTCGAACCCACATGATTCTGCCAAATATATTAAAACTGACTCCTCTTTAAGTTGATCTCGACAATAAAACTTGAAACGGCTTACAATTTCCGATGTACGCGGCGTGAAACGACAATGTTGTATGTTTTTCCTGACACCTTATCCGGCGCAAGCAAAGACCTTAGGATTTCGTAAGTATGAGGTCCACACAAACTAAGGAAAATTGCTAGTTTCTTAGTTTCATCTGTAATATCGTTGGCCGAAAAATAGAAAGTCATACGTGCGACGTAGGACCCCCAACCCTTTGGTTCGTTTAGACTCTCAAATTCCCAATTAAACCCCTTGACAGTAGTTATATCAAATTTCATCTCACTGTTAGTTACAACATTACTTTTCCCCATTGGCCAGCAATGGCACCCCAAACATATAAAAGTACAAAAATAAAAGTGACTAATCAATGTCTAAAACAATTAAAATATCCACTTTCACAGTTCTAGCAATACGCAACAACACAGACACAATACACCACAGTATTTGTATCAAAAAAAGATTGTACTTTTTTTCTGATAAAGTCTTGTCTCTATAATTTATACAACTAACGCCAATTGCGTTAAAATTTAATGTTGTGCTGTCCTTGCACAAGTATTTTTGAAGTTCTTGCAAAGAAATGGAAGACATATATTTTTAATTTTTAGGTAACAAATGGTATTTTGCTTCCTTCATTACGTCCCATGTTGCCTTTACTTGATCTTCATGGGGTCCGAAGACTGGACTTTCACATGTCCGTTGTAGAGGTATAAAAATACAATAATTCCAATTAGGCTTTTCGCTTCACAAAATTAATTTGTAGGCGTTGCGTGAAAAACTAACAAATCACATAAATGAAATTGGAAAACTGGAAGGCAAAGAACGCGACTTGAAGCTGAAAGAATTACTGCAAAAGAGTTTTCCTGTTATCAAAGTCAAAGCCATGAGACCTATAGTGATGGCTATTTTAAAGAATATTCCACAAATTGATGATCACTATCTTAAAGTGCTCGTTAGAGACAGGGAGTTGTATAATGACACAGGTAATTTTTGTAAATTTTCTTTCTATTAAAAATAAAAAATAATAATTATCAAAATTTAGACACGGAAGTTAAAAGACAAATATGGAAAGATAACCAATCCTTGTTTGGGGATGAAGTGTCCCCTTTGCTGAGCCAATACATAACTGAAAAGGAGAATGTACTGTTTGATCATCATAATTTGAGTACACAATTTTTTGGACCTTCACCAAAGGTAATTGGTTTTCACTTGTTCTATTATCAATATACACTTGCAAAATTACAATCCAATTCCTTCAAACATTTTAAAAAATAAAGATCGTCCACCAATGTTGTTTTTTCGAAACTTGATTTTTTCCTAGATGGCATCCACACACATTTCACATATCCTTTTTTCTATTTAAAGATAAAGTTAACTTCCTAATCTCTCGGCAATAATACATTATCTAAGAGTTTAACTAACAGAATCGATAAAAATTTTAGAAAATTATCATTAAATCACAATGCAGGTTAGACGGCAAGGCGAAGTGGTCCAAAAACTAGCCCACATGATAGGCAACAGCGTAAAACTATACGACATGGTACTCCAATTTCTGAGAACTCTATTTCTGAGGACCCGTATAGTACATTACTGTACACTCAGAGCCGAATTGCTCATGGCACTACACGATCTTGAAGTGCAAGACATCATATCCATTGACCCTTGTCACAAGTTTACTTGGTGCTTGGATGCGTGTATTCGAGAGAAGAATGTGGATATCAAACGGTAAATAATTTTTCATATAAAATTCAATCGAAATAAGCAATTTTTTTTTTTTAGTTCACGTGAACTACAAGGATTCCTTGATAATGTTAAAAGAGGCCAGGAGCAAGTTTTAGGTGACTTGTCAATGACACTATGTGATCCTTATGCTATAAACTTTTTGGCTTTGTCTGCCATCAAGATTTTGCAGCATTTAATTCACAATGAGAGCATGCCTAGGGTAAGAATTGTTTGAATTTGTTCTAATAACAGTTTAAATGGATATAGAGAGAAGATATACTTCGCAAATATCAAAAATGTCACATCGACATGAGACAACATCTTCAATTACAAAAAATATTTATCTTTATTTTAGGACAACACTATTTTAATCCTTCTCTTAAGAATGCTGGCTTTAGGCCTTAGCGCATGGGTCATGATTGATTCGCAAGATTTCAAAGAGCCCAAACTTGACAGTCAAGTGGTGACCAAGTTTTTACCAGCTCTTATGAGTCTCATGGTGGATGATCAGGTAAGTTTTTTTTCTTCAAACTCATGAAATGAAATTCAAAGAGAAATTTTAGGTGCGTCAATTATCTGGTAAACTACCTCCTGATGAACGTGAAGCTGCCATTACAGTGATAGAACACGCTGGCCCTCTACCTGATGCAGTGGAAGCTTATATTCAAGATAGCACTGTGGCAAGTATTTTGGCTATGTACTATACATTACACGTTGCCAAATCTAAAGACAGAGTCGCGTTGTTGAGGATTTTAACTGTTTTGGCAAATTGTAAGGACGATAGGGCTTTTGAGGATCCATTCCTGCATTCTTTTGTAAGTCATATTGCCAATCTATATACGATTTTGTATTAATTAATAATTTTTTTTTATAGGTTCATTTATTAATTAGCAATCCTGATGAATTCCAAGCCGAAGATTTTTGTACTGCTCTATTCGATGAATTTTTTTCATCTGGTTTGCAGCGTGACAATGTCACCAGGCATCTATTGAAGCTCTTATGGTATATTTTCATTAATTAATTTGAATATTTTTAAATCCTATTCTCCAAAAGGTATGTTCACCATAAGCTGCCCGCCAGCCGTTTGCACACCCTTTTAAAGACTGTGGCCCCAACCCATCAACATAGCGAAAAAGTACACAATTTGTATAAGTTACTGCAAGAAAAGATTCACTCTCAGGAGGAGAGTTCTGTGCAAGTTGAAATGGATATTGATGTCAATTCGCCTTTGATGAGCGTACCTACTCCTGCGCCTTATCATCATATTATTTAAATTAAGTAGATATAAGAAATGTAAATATTTATATTATTAGTTCATTAATATATTGTTAATATTGCACATTTTACTGGCATTTGCGTATTGCTTATTATCGCTGCAACTATGCGACCTCTTAGGAGACTAGACAGATTGGTTCATTAATACCATAACCACAATGTTGACATTAAACATTGAATATTCAAGAAACAATACATCTTCAACAAAAATTTTGAAAATCAGAGGCAAAGTGTGCCTGCCCTGAGGAACGCCTGAGCACTCGACAAACTGAATATCAAAGGTTGCTTAGATCGATATTTCAACAGAAATACAAGAGAAAAATAACTACAATGTAGGTATAGTCCATCTAGCTAGAAGGTTTCCGGAAGAAAGAAAACAGAATTATAATTTTTCGGTTTATATTTTTATTACTTGCATTATTAAATTACAAATAATTCATCTCATTTACTTTCACAATTTCCTGTTAACTCTATTAATATTATCTTTATTTAGCAAAAACAGCTAATTTACAAAGTTTACAGAACATGCACAATGCACAATTTATACACACTGTAAAAATTGCAGTTATTACTTACTACTACTAAACTGGCCTTTATTTTGTAATTTCTGCAATCATCTTATTTTTATTTGCCGTAAACAATATGGCAGGCGCACATGTAAGATTAGGCAAAATCATAGGTAGTAGTAGTAGTAGTACATCACTTTACGAGACCACTGGGTCAAAGATATTGGAGCAATTCTACCAAAAAAGTTGGTGTTTCTGGCGATTTTATCACCTATGTTATTATGACACATATTTTTTAAATGTTAATTCCCTGTCAATAAGAACTCCAATAAACTTTATTTCCGACTAATGTCACCCGCAGGGAATAATGACGAGTAGCGGGATTAATGGTCATTATTCCTCAAAAGTGTCATTGTCAAACGTATAGTGCTTGTGGATTTGTATTGAGATGGATGAAATTTGCTATTAAAAATCTCAAATAAATTAACTTGTGATAAATAAAGTAGAGTATACTACTCGCAATAATGGCTATTAATATTTTCTCGGAATGTTACTCCCTCGCCGATAACGCTCAGTTCAGTTCGTGAATATTCCTCGGGAATAATAGCTATCATTATTGACTCGTGGTATAATCTACTATTATCTTATCAACAACTTCAAAGTCTTCAATATCAATATTCAATATTCCTGGTCAAGTAGATTTCCATTGCACCACAGTAGTATATTTTGCAACGCTGTGTGTTGATGGTATCAATTATAAAAAAAAATAGGTTTTTCAAATTATCTGAACAGAAATACATAGTAAGGTCATCAGCAAACAGATGGATATTTTTGAGGCCTACAGATAAAACATACTAAAAATTTAAATCAATTGAACGAAAAATTAAAAAGTTTCAAGATTCTCAAAAATGAAATTTTTTACCTACAAGACTAAATATGACACGTCTCTACATTTTGACCATTTACTCAAAAACTACTTGAGACGCAAATATGAGATTCTGAGGGAATGAATATTTTTAAAGCCTAAGAGACGAAACATACTAAAAATACAAATCAATTGAACGAAAAATTACAAAGTTATAAGATTTTCAAAAATGAACATTTTTCTCTTTAAGGCTGACTATGACCAAGAGCTTCCTTCAAAAGCAAGTTCGAAATCATTTAAGATCGGAATCACTGATACTTACTATGATAGATTATTTGGTGAAAATTTTTGGCCAGAAAATGTAATTGCTAGACCTTTTACGTTTAGGAAAAGGCAACATAATCCTCAAACAAATTGCTCCAACCTCCCAACGAACGAAGGAAGCTTTAACATTTTATTATCAGAATGTTAGAGGAATAAGAACTAAGCTTGATCAATTAATGTGTAATCTGCTTGTTGAAGATTTTGATGTTGTACTATTGACAGAAACATTTCTGGATTCTGATATTTTAATAAGTGAGATAGGTTTGGATGGTTATCAAGTCTATAGGTGTGACAGATCAACAAAAAATAGCGCCTGTAAGACTCAGGGTGGAGTACTGATAGCAGTCAAAAGCTGTTTGTCCTCAAAAATTTTGATGACACCTATTGAAAGTGTTGAGCATATTTTTGTGTCAGTCACCATTGAGAGCCAAAAAATTTTTGTGGGAAATGCTTATATCCCAGGAACATCAACAGGTGATATTTATGAGAGCTTTTGTTTTTCTCTAATCCATCTACTTGAGAGTCAGAATTTTACCGATATTTTTATCTGGGGTGACTTTAATTTACCCAATATAACATGGGAAACAACAGTAGATGGATCTATGCCTGTTGGTCCTCTATCCAAGCAAGTAATTACTGTGGGAGATTGTGTGGCTTATTTGGGCCTTTACCAAGTGATAGATATTCCTAATGTTTTTGGAAACTACTTGGATCTCCTGTTTTGAAAAAGTTGTGACATTAAAGTATCTGTGACCAATAATCCCTTACTCAAGCTGGACTTACCACACCCAGCGTTTGAATGCAATTTTTTATTGACCAAAGAGCCCCCAAACCTTTCTTGTGACAATTTTTATTTAAATTTTAAACGTGCTGATTTCAGCGAAATAAATTTTTATCTTTCCTGTACTGACTGAGATCCAATTTTTGAGTGCACAGATGTGAATACTGTGGTTTCTAAGTTTTATAATGTACTCTACGACATCATTGAAATTTTTACACCCTTATCTAGATTCAAAACTCCAAAGTTTCCAAAGTGGATGCCTGATAACTTAAAAAAATTAATTATACAAAAAAAAAATTGCTCACAAAAATTATAAATATACACACACACAAGAACACTATGATCAGTTTGCTACTGAATGCCATAATATTTCTCGAACATCATATAAAAACTGTGTGAAAAATTTAGAAAATCAACTGCATGATAGGCAATCTTTTTTGGAGCTTTGTGAAATCAAAAAAAGGCGGCATAGAATATCCAAAATGCATGACTTTTGATGGGTGTGAATCTGACGATGCCCAGGAAATCACGGAGATGTTTAGATCTCATTTCTCTTCTGTGTACTCAAATTTTGATGGTCCAGCAACCGATTTACTTTTGGATTATGACAAATGTGTTAATTTAAGTTGTTTAGAGTTTTCCACTATTGATGTTTTTAATAAGATTGAGAAAATGAAGAAAAATTTGGGAATGGGTCCTGATGGGATTCCCGCGTCTGTGATACAAAATTGTAAATATGTTTTATCTGCCATTTTATGTAAGATTTTTAATTTGTCCCTGAGTACAGGAGTTTTTCCAGATTTTTGGAAAAAATCCTTTGTTTCACCTATTTTTAGGGATGGTGACAGAGCTGATGTCAAAAACTACAGAGCTATTAGTAGGATCTCTTTAATTGCTAAACTATTTGAATCACTGGTTGCTGATAGTTTGTTTCCTCATCTCAATAGGATCATAATGAATGAACAGCACGGTTTTAGGAAGGGGAGATCCACTGTAACTAATCTCTTGACCTATGAGCAGGCTCTGTTGGGTGCCTTTGAGAATAAGTATCAGGTGGATGCTATCTATACTGACTTCTCGAAGGCATTTGACAGAGTGGATCACAGAATTTTGTTATCCAAGCTAAATACTGTGGGACTTTCTGGTTCGAAAGCAACCTGAAAGACCGAAGGCAGGCTGTTAAAATGAAAAAGTATAATGGCATCTGCATTATCTTCTGAAAACGACCGTTTTAAAATTTATTTTGAAAACCCTTCGATCCCTACAGAAAATTATAACGCCGTGAAAATGATATTAAACAAAAAATGAGATACATAACATATTCATGGAAATTATAACAAAACGTTCGGAAGGTAAAAGTTAATGAAAATGCAGTTACATCCAGGTTCATGATTACAAATACTTTAGGACATGATAAGAAATGAATCGGTAAAGATATTCAGGTGAAAAATGAATAAACACAGAAGAACACGCATTTCATAAATATATGCAAACATATAGTAAAAAGCTTAAAGGAAGCGACCAAAGAAGCTGTTGGATACCAGGATAATAGAAATAACAATAACATGTGGTGGACTGAGGAAATACAGGCAATGGTCAGTACTAATTAAAGACTACCAAATAAGATACCTAGAAATCTACAGGGAAACCAGAATACAGCTAACGAATTTAATACGCACAGTAAAAAGGGAAAGGTTTGAGCGCAAATGCCACGATATAAATACACACATGGGAGCGGAGGCAGACAAAGTTCTTAAAGTGTGGACATTCATTTCTACTGTAAAAAACCCAACAAATGAAAAAGTAAACATTCAGATCATCAAACCAGAACAATGGACAGAACACTACAAGGGACTGCTGCAGGAGACGGAACGAGATCCGAATATATCTTTTAGCCTCTCCGAGGAGAGACATAAAGTACCTACATGGAGAGGTAGTAATAATTGATGAAGAATAGTATTAAAAAACTTAAATCTGGAAAAGCTAGGGGACCTGCAGGAATATACTCTGAAATGCTGATATACGGATCAGAAAAACTCCTCGAAAATCTCACTTATATGGTCAATCAATGCATAAAAAGGAAACAAGCTGGATTGCAATAACTACAGAGGAATTTCAGTAACCAGTACTCTAAGTAGATCGTACGGTAGGATTCTCTGAAATTTAATAGAGAATGACTTTCATGAACAAGAAGAAGAAGAAGAGCAAAGTGGATATCGTGCAGAAAAATCTTGTAGTGATAATGTATTTTGTCTCGTCTCAAACAAGTAATTGAGAAAAGGAGTGTCTGTTGCCTTTGTGGACCTACAAAAAGCATATAATACCGTTCCAGTAGAAAAATGATGGACAGTGTTAGAACAAACTAACATCAGTCATACGGAGGTTACGAGAAATCAATAATAGATTTATACAAAGGATCAAAATCTAGAATTAGAATTGGAAATCGACTGACAAAAAAATTCTTGGTTGGTAACTAAATGCTTTGAGGCAGGGATACTGTATTTCATCAACTCTTTTTAAAATATTTATATATCGCAGTAGCGCTAAAAAACTGGAAACGTAAAGTACGCGAGAATACAACTTAACCATC